CCCAGGCCATTCTATGATTCTATGAATAAGCTGTGTTCCTTTTTCAAAATACAGTGTTACTTCTGACCTTCATATAAAAATTGTCTGAGGAGCTTGTTCTCTCTTCCTCCTCTTTACTAGCAAAAAAATTCTATTTCCTAATATACCATACCAAGAAAAAGCCATTCCTGAAAGATTCCCCACCCTTGTAAGAGCTGTACTAGCCCCTGGAGGTGTGGTATGCTACTTCACTTACATAATGTCTACAGCATTAAAATACTAGAACCATAGGGAAGATCCTGTTCGACCTTCCCTTGCAGTCCTTCACTCTCTTTACTTCTTTCTTTCCAGCTCAACAAAAGTTATTGTCATTTAATCTGTTTTGACGTTAAGCATCCTCTTCCCCATGAACCTACAAATAACTGATTTTACCTATGGGTTTTATCAAAACCCTGACTGTTAAATTTCCCAGACAATGGTCACTTGCCATCTTATATCCTACCAGTTTACAGGCCAGCAGACTCATGTGTAATCACACGGCCTGACATTTGACCTCATTCCTTACTTAACTCTGCAGAATTTTGAGTCACCTTAGTTGGAAATGCCTTACCCATGCACCCTCCTTCCTATAATTCACACAATGATCAGGTGCTCACCCAACAAAATCTGCTTTCTCATCTCCCATAGTTAATGTTCTGCCTGCTTCAAGTGACAAGGGATCCAAAACTTGATATTCTATTCAAGGTAAAGTCTTATCATAGCCACCAGAAATAATTCTTACCATATGTACTTCGTGGGAGATGTTGCTTCAGATATGCAAATGCTGGCTCCTACAGGAAGGTCAGTATCACTGACGTGCTAACAAAAACATTTATCAAGGAGGGTGAAAGAGAATTGACAGATGCACTCAGTTTTGCTGTGAGCCTCTACTTATGACTCAGTGTAGTCACAGAGGTCTGTTGTCTGAAGTTCAGAGGGAAACCATAAGAAAACAGTACCTATCTGTTGTAACACTGTTAAGGTTTTGAGGGGTCAAGAACAAAGAAGCCTGCATCAACTCTCTTCCCTCCCCATCCTCTGTGAAATAGGAAATTTTGGACACAGTTCACCAACTCAGAGGAGTGGGGAGCTGTTTATTTTCTATTCTCAGGACCCTGGGACCCTGGCTTGTGCCAATGTCACGCTTGGCACAGAATTTGCTCACCAATTTTTTTTGCTTCCATCACTTCCAATTCTATTATTTTGTCCTTTTGTTTCAAATGCTATTTCTCAAGTATATTAGTCCTTTGCTTGGATTTTCAGACAGCAGTCCCTTGTCATATCAATCCTCTTCCTCCTCATTAGGTACACACTTAGAGCTCTAATTTGTCCCTTAATCTATCTTTCAGTTCCTGAATAGTGTTAGTGCCTTGATCGGCAAATTATCTCCAGCTTATGAGATTTACTTCAAGAATTAAAACTTCATCTTCTTTCTTCTAGGGACTCCCCTACTCATACCCGTTCTGTGTTTCTCTTTGTTTTTTTCCGCTTCTTCTGTCTATTTACTTGAATCTTTCAAAAGCAAAAATGACCTAGAGGTTCTTTTGAAATGATCAGGGCAAATGTGGCAAAATTATATATGAAAACAAGAATTGCAACTGTAAGTCTGATCACCTCTCTCACTGATACACAGAGTAACTTAAACATGACTTGACTAAAATTGAAAATATAGAACTAAAAAGATACGATTGAAAGACAAAAGTCTTTTGGGGTTTTCTTTGTTTTATTTCAAACATACTTTGTAAACAATATTTTCTTAATTGTAGCAGACAGCTTGGTCCCTCCTCCAAACTGCAGAGGGTCTGTGTAAGCACAGCTAAAAATTATTGCTAAAATTGCTGTAATCTTGCAGATAGAAGTCCAAATAGCAAAAATTGTTATTATGTGTTTTCTGAGTTGGTGTAAAGGCGAAATCAACTCAAATTTCCTCCCTTAGTGGGGAAGCCAATGCTAGGACTTCATCTGACTTATTAAGGTACTTTACATTGTTTAGCTGAGGATATAAAAAAGTGCTCCTTTTGTTCATGTCTTGTGAATCTGACACCCATAAAGACATTTTTTGTAAAAAACAGTCTCTCAGGAAAGAGTTCTCCTTTTTGTTTGAAACAGCCATGAGACTACATAAGTAGTGGTAATCTCTTTGTTCAATATGATGCTTTCTCCTGTTCTGAAGTGTTCTGAGGAGATTAAAGAAGTGACAAGCACAGAGCAGGAAAAAATTACTGCACTTTATGGGATTATACCCATCTGTCCTCTGGCAGCAAGATACACTTTTTTATTTCCTGATAATGACATACAAATATATATACCAGGTCACCCTCAAATCTCTATCATCAGATCCTTTTCAAACAAAAAAAAATGCATTAACCGACAGGAGACTTTTAATCTCTTCAGTTAATTTTTCTTCACTACCACATTGAGCCTGGTGCCATCACCAAGCTAATTTCAAGTGAGAACACAGTGAGAGAAAAAGCAGCTACCATGCCTGTCCTGAAAGGGTGTTACTTCTCCTCTGGCTAGTGCCCTGTTTCTTTCTCTAGCACCTTTAAATTCTGCATTTGTTTTGGCTAGAAATTGGCCTACTATTTATTAACAGGTATGTGAGAATTTTCTTAGATGAGAGATACCAGAAATGGAAGAGACCTCATCTTCTCAGCAGTCACACAGATATAATGGAACACATTCTCAAGCTTTGCCACTTCCTGATTTTGCTGTATTTATTTTAAATAGGAATGCAAATGATCATACAGAAACACAATATGAAGAGTGAATGCCAAGCAAAGACTGTAAGACTAATGAAGGCATGTAGTAGTTACTTTCCTAAAATACTCTTTCATCTCCAATTCTTTTAAGTTCAGGGATCACAATAAAATTAAGAATCCTTTGTATTTTTGTCCTACTTTTCTGATCTCACACTGAATCCAGATAAACATTTAATTTATAAATGTGCTTAGTAATAGAGACTTCTTTTCCTCCTTCACATCAATTGGCATGGATTTAACAATTACTCTAAGCTGCCTTTTTCCAAGAAAATAAATCATTTTATCCCTGTTTCCTAAATCAACCCTTTAGCACATTTTATTGGTTGTGTCAACACTTTATTCTGCAATGATTAATATTCAACAGTAAGAAACAAAAATACCTAAGGAATCTTACCAAGCACTGTCATCTGGGTGCCCTGTCCAAAGTACAGTGGTGAGTTTGCACAGTATTTTGAAGAAGTACCAGAATTGTCTGCCACTAGAAGCTCTCAACTGCGTGTAAAGCCTGTATGATATCATGGTATATCTTACCTTTCATGAGGTCACAAACAGCTCTCATATTTATGCTCTCATGTGTGTTAGAAAATACTGTGCTTTTGCAGAAAAATATGCTGAAACAGATGGTGTATTGCTCCAATAAGTACTGTATGTAGTGAATCTAACCTATCTAGGAAGCAGCTCTTTCCATCTCTATCTGTGTCCTATTCTCAGTCGTAGTTTAGGAATTCAATCTGAGACACCGTCTGTCAATAAGAGCAGAAATGGTGAATCCCTCCCCTTTCTGCCATCACTAAACTGTGCTTAAGAAGAGTTGAGTTTCTGGAACTCACACATCCCAGACCTATTTCCCCTGACTTCCCTCTTACCCAGTTTTCATACAAAAGATTTCAAATTAAAAAACAACAACTCATACTTCTTGAATAGAACAGAAGCTAAAACTTTATTCCTAATTCAAGGAGTAGGGTCCTCAGCCTCCAAGCATTAAGAAGGTATTACTTTTAAAGATAATAACAATATGCAACATGATACAATACAATGCAATGCAATACAATACAATACAATATGATATGGATGTACAAGGAAAACCCAGCAGTGATTACAATAGTGGAAAGAACAAGAGGGTGACAGAGAACCAGCAAGAAATAATATTCATAAGGTCTTAGACAGAAGCAGAGATCCTTTGCTATGGAAAGTTAGAAAATATAATTTGCTGTGTGCCTGCTGATGCGATGAAGACGACTCTTCATTTATTTTCTACACAACTTGCCACCAGCCTGACTGAGAAGAAAGCAGAATAAGCAAATTACAAAAAAAAAAAAAAAAAAAAAAAAGGCAAAAGGCACAAATACAGTAATCTAGGAAATAATATACCTTATTTATCAGTGTCCCAACTGTGTGTCTCCTGATAGCATTAACAGAAATTACCATGTAGTATCTCCATGCTTTCTCCCCTTTTTTACCAAGGAAGTGTCTTAACCTGTACAAATTGTTTCCTTACATCTTTACACACAACTTTGTGTGTTAGATGACTAATCTGGTGGTTTTCTGTAATGGAGTGACTGCATCAGAGGACAAAGGAAGAGCTACGGACATAATCTACCTGGACTTCTGTAAGGCTTTTGATATGGCCACCCACAACAGTCTTGCCACTAAATTGGAGAAGTATGTGTTTAATAGACAGACTGTTACATGGGTAAGGAATTGGCTGGATGACCATTCCCAAATTGTTACAGTCAATGGCTCAATGTCCAAGTGGAAACCAGCAACAAGTGGTTTCCCTCAAGGGTCCATACTGGGACCGATACCATTTAATACCTTCACCAATGCTATTGATAGCGTGACTGAATGCACCCTCATCAAGTCTGAGGACTACACCTAGCTGAGTGCAGTTCATGTGCTTCCGGAAAGGGATGCCATCCAGAGGGATCTTGACAGGCTTGAGGAGTGGGGCCATGGGAACATCATAAAGTTCAACAAGGACAAGTGCAAGGTCCTGCCCCTGGACAGGGGCAGTCACCAGGATGCGTACTGGGGGACAAATGGATTGAGAGCATCCCTGTGGAGAAGTACTTGGAGATACTGATAGGTGACATATTGTACGTCAGCTGGCCATGTGCGCTTGCAACCAAGACCGCCAATTGTATCCTGGACTGGATTAAAAGAAGTGTGGACAGCAGTTTGAGGAAGGCAATTCTGCCCCTCTACTCTGCTCTGGTGAGACTCCACCTGGCGTACTGCATCCAGCTCTGGAGTTCACAGTACAAGCGAGTCCAGAAGTGGGCTACAAAAAATGGTCAGAGGGCTGGAACACCTCTCCTATGAAGAAAGGCTGACAGAGTTCAGGTTGTTCAGCCTGGAGAAGAGAAGGCTCCAGGGAGACCTTCTTGTGGCCTTTCAATATACAAGGGGGCTTATAAGGAAAATAGAGAAGAACTTCTTACCAAAGCCTGTAGTGACAAGACTAGGGCCAATGGTTTTAAACTGATACGGGGTAGCTATAGGTTAGATATAAAAAAGAAACTTTTTACGATGAGGTTGGTGAGACACTGGAGCAGGTTGCCCAGAGGAGTTGTGGATGTCCCATCACTGGAAGTGTTCAAAGACAGGTTGGATGGGACTTTGAGCAACTTGATCTAGTGAAAGATGGACCAGATGATCTTTAAAGGCCCCTTCCGACTCAAACCATTCTGTGATTCTGTGATTATGATCCAGTAAAGTGCAAACTTACTCTGTCTAGTATCCTTGAAAAAGGACATAAAAACATAATTGAGATTGTGTTCATATTCACCCTTAAGTCTACTAGGTCACTTTTCAAATACATCTCCCAGTCCTGCTTTTAAAGTAGCAAGTGCTGAGGCACTGTTCTCTCTGGGAGTATCTTTTGGCCATATGGGAAAATTACTGATAAAATGTATTTCCTGCTATTTAGTTAAATTTCTCCCATTTTCTCAGATTTCTCTCATTGTTCTTTGTAAATCTTTGTAAATCTTTGTTCAGATTTATCTCACTTATCTCCTCAAAACTCCTGGCTATTACTTTCACTGCAGGCATGCATCCCATTTCAATGCTTACAGAAAAGTATGATATAACTGACATTTCTCTTCTTTATTCTCTGGAGAAGTTGTCCTTAATTCTCATTGTTTTCCATGTTTTTAAAGAGCATTTTGAGAAGGAATTCTCTGCTCAATAGCATTGATTTTTTTTTTTTTTGAGTTCCTGAAAAACGATAATAGAAAACTCATCACTTGTGATTTTTCAAACTAGCCTGCACAAAGCCTGGCCGAACACATGGAGAACAACCCCACAGTCAAGCAAAAATTTAGTCTGTATCCACTGATCCTTGTACAAGTGAGTAAGCTCAATCTTCAAGTGGCCCACAAGCATACCTTGGCTGTCCACATCAGGCTGCTCACCAGAACTGCATAGAGCAAGGCTTTGCCACAGAGAATGAGGTAAGTGAGCTTCAGAGAATTTCCATACCGCAAGTAGGACTCTGAAAATCAAACATAATTTGTGTATTGAATTATCGTCATCACAAGAGACTAGATCTACTGTAGCTTTAATCAAATAAGAACACTTGAAATCCTTAACCAAGCACAAAGGAACTCAAACCAAATGAATGGCTTTGTTGACATGAGATAGCAGAGTATGGGAAAAACCACTGTGATTCAGAGAACCAAAAGAGAAAGTAAGTCTAGGAAAGACAGAGATTGGCTTTATGCTAAGGAAGTATGTCCTGATTGGGAATGTTTAACCATTGTGTTGCCATACCTACTGAAAAACTAGGCTGTTCATGTGAATCACAAGATACTATTTTTTTTCACTCATTGTCAGTGGCCTTGTGAATGCTGCTGATATATCAGGGAAGTTTTACATATCCCAGAATAACATGGTATCTAGAACTTTTATTCTTATAGATTTTTTTCATCTTAAGGAACTATAGTAGTATTGAGACACGAGCCTGATCTTGGTTCAGTCTTATGATTCCTGAAGCATTGAAGAAGTTAGTGAAAAACAAGAGTGTAAATATGTATTCACAAAGGAAAAAAACACAATTTTTAATATAAGTATCCTTGCAATTCTGAGGGGAATGTGACTTGCAGTGAGAAGTATTCTGAATTTGATAGAGTCTGAATCTTGATGTCATAGTCACTTGGCTTCTTGCATGGCTGAGCAAGCAGCTTTCCAACAGAAAGCAGTGTTAAGGACTGGAGGAGATGATAAAAAGAGCAATTTACACTCTACAGGAAAGTTCTACAATTTCTTCTGTTATTTTGAAAGGGAATCATAAAGAAGAGCTAAAAAACCAAAACACAGCTACATACAGCATGCACATACAACCCTCCTGAAGTATTTTTTGCTTTTTATTTATCGAACATACAAACCAGTTAGATGAGGAAGTACAAGTTATTCTTGTAGCAGAACTCTCACACAATTAAACTGTAATTAAAATACATACAGATATTTGCCTGTGAGAAGACACACATACCTTCTGTGAGTGCACAACCTGAAAGACAAAAATGAATGGAAAGTCATGTTTCTTTTCAATGCAAACAGAACACAAATTTCAGAAGTTTCAGTTTAAAATACACTGCCTGATTCATTTTACTATACTATATATTTTATTGTATTACAGAGATTTCTCAGTGAAGATATGAAGAAACCTTTGAAAAACTGTAGATGTATAATGATAATGTAGACATAGAGGCCCAGGAATATTAAGAGACGTATGCAAATACCTACATATTTATATATATATTTGTGCCATAACAAAACCCTGTATAGACCTTGTATACATGTGTGTTTCATGTAACAACCCACACCTTTTTGCTTTATGATTTCTAGTTTGTAGGCCACAGTGGTACACATTTTTTACTCACCAGCATCACCGTAGATTAGTTTGTGTATTGATTCCAGTGTTCCATTCTTAAAAAAACTGGCAACACACTCAAAACGGTTCAAAGGATTGAACCATTCCTGGGCTGAGATCCTCAGTCGGCTTGTCAATGAGTAGGTACTCCTGTTCCGTGTGGAAAACTCATCTGTCCCTACCCCTTCAGTCCTCTTAACGCCATTCACTTTCCAGATAAGATTCAGGTGGTCGGGGAAGAAGCCAGAAGCCAGGCATACCAGTGTGGCCTTGCTCTTCTGTTGGATCTCGTGCTTTGATGGAGAAAAGATGGCCACCTCTGGAGGTATGATTTCGTCATTCTTCCCTGAAACAGAAAGCAATATGGCCCAGAGCCTCCATTAGTGTCTTAAATCAGAAACCCTTAAAATTGTAATGTATTTGTGCTATGTGACTCCTGATATGTCTTGCTTTTAGCAACTCTATCAACTGTCTCTAGGCATATTAGGGATAAGAAG